GCACCCTTTAGGTGTCCACCTGCTGCATGTGTGTGCAGTTTTTCCGCTCTCATTGTGAAGAGGGAAGCCCGGGTGCAGGGATTTCAAACAGCCAGGACGGCTGCGGGATCGAATGAACGAATGTACACTGAAAGGCTATCAAACAATGTGGGGGGGACATTTGAACTAAGATTTCGTCCTTTTTTTTTTTTTTGGTTTTTGAAGTAGTCTGTCCTGGAACTCGCTCTGTAGACCAGGCTGGCCTCGAACTCAGAGATTCGCCTGCCTCTGCCTCCTGCGTGTTGGAATTAAAGGGGTGTGCCACCACCACCCGGCTCACCTAAGCTTCTCCTTCTCCTTCTCCTTCTCCTTCTCCTTCTCCTTCTCCTTCTCCTTCTCCTTCTCCTTCTCCTTCTCCTTCTCCTTCTCCTTCTCCTTCTCCTTCTCCTTCTCCTTCTCCTTCTCCTTCTCCTTCTCCTTCGCCTCTGCCTCCCGAGTGTTGGGATTAAAGGCGTGCGCCACCACCACCCAGCTCTTGGTTAGTTTTTGTTGTTGAGTTTCTGTTTTGTTTTTGAGGCCCAGGCTGGCCTCATGGCTATATAGACAAGGGTGACTTTTGCAAGCCGTGGTGGCACATACCTTTAATCCCAGCTCTTGGGAGGCAGAGGTGGGCAGATCTCTGAGCTCAAGGCCAGCCTGGTCCACAGAATGAGTTTCAGGACAGCCAGGACTACATAGAGAAATCCTGTCTAGAAACAAAACCAAAACCAAACAGATAAAGAAGTGACTTTATACTCCTGATAATGGGGTGATGGTGCCTTCACTCCTGGTTTCTGGGGGTGGGGCTGGGGTTAAGACTCAGGGCTTCAAGTCTGCTACACAAGCACTCTGCCCACTGAAAGCACAACCCGGTTTGCTCTACTTGTTTTCTGTGCCTGCGTGTTTGCCTCCATGTATAACTATGCACCACCTGTTTGCAGTGCCCACAGGCACCAAGAGAGGGCGCCAGAGTCCCCAACTGGAGTTGTAGATGGTGTGAACCTCCGTGTGGGTACTGGGAACTGAATACAAGTCCTCTACAAGAGCAGTGGTGCTCTTGACCTCTGAGCCTTCTCTCCAGCTTGTTTTGTGCCACCCTCATGGTCTAAGTAGCAAGATGGGCCTTAAACTCCTGATCTTTCCACCTCAGCCTCCCAAGTGCGGGGGGAGGAGGAGGGGGGAGGGGGCAGAGGAACTCACTTGATTGCACAGGGCAGTGAGTGGTGTCCGGACCTGGTCATGATGCGTGGAAGGGGGCCCTCATGACCAGATCCTTGAACTTGTGCAAGTGAAATGGGTGAAAGGTCAGGAAGTCAGTTGCTCATTACAGACTCCACAGCTCACCTTCCCCCACTCAGCGCAGACACCAACTCTGAGTCAGCTCAACCAGGGGCACATGAAAGGTGGTGGCTCCCAGAGCAGCGTGCTGGATGGCCAGATGTTGCTACACTGAGTCTCTCTCAGAATTGAGATGGAACTTGGGGTTTCTGACTTTTATTACTGGTAACACAAATGAGAAGCTGGGTGTGGTGATGTGTGCTTGTCATCCAGCACTTAGGGAACTGAGGCAGGGGGATTACTGTGAGTTCCAAGCCAGAACACCAAGCAAAGTTAGAAGGTAACTCAGAGGGTCAGGTACTTGCTGTCCAAGGATAAGGACTTATGTTCTGGTCTCAACGGCCCAAAAGTAGGGTAGATGTGGTTGACAAGGGACCCTTGGAGCTGCCAGACTAGCTCTGTCTGTGAGCTCAGTGTTTATGTGAGAGATCTGACTCAAGAAATACGGTGGAGCAAACCCTCACACTGGGGAACATACACCAACATGCACCTGAACATGGGCAGTGCGCAGAACAAGACACATGATTGAGGGCAGGTATATGTGTGTGCACGCTCGCGCGCATGCACACACACACACACACACACACACACACACACGTGCAAAAACAGAAATAAAAGTGGCTAGTGTGGTGACTGACATCCCAGCATTTGGGAAGCAGAGACTGGAAGATCAGGAGAAGTTCAGGGTCAGCCTTGGCTACACAGCCAGTTGGAAGCCAGCCTGGTCTACATGAAACCCTGTGATTAGAGTTCTCCTTAAATAGAAAACGGAAGTTCTAAGTTAGACACAGCTGTAAACCCTCTATCAGCCTCCTGCTTACAAAGTGACTCCTTGCCTGGTGATGTTAGTGGCACATGTCTTTAAGCACTGGGGAGGCAGAGGCAGAGGCAGAGGCAGATGGATCTCTGTGAGTTCTAGACCAGCCTGGTCTACAGGGTGAGTTCCAGGACAGCCAGGGCTACACACTGAAACCATATCTCAAAAAACCAAAAGCTAACATCCCTCCTCCCCAAAATGTATGACTCCTCCTCCTCACCCTGGGTCTATGACTTCCCATGGCTCCCACCCTCCCTGCTGAAGTTGGCTCTTCCTGGAGCTCTGGGAATGACTCAGTTCTGAGCTGTCCTTTCCAAGGTGCAGTGGTGCCCATGGGGACCCTCCAAGCCACGCCTCTTGTGTCTTACAGCTCCTGGGGATTGGGGGGGGGGTCCTCTCTCTTATTTTTACATTTCTGGTAGGTTTTCTTGGTTTGGGGGCAGGGTCACCCTACCTAGTCCAGGCTAGCCTCAAACTCGGGAGAGTTCTGACTCCATCTTCCTTGTGTTGATATTGCAGATGTGCGCCTGACTTCACCAAGGTTGGACAACCATGAGCTACAATACCCACCTCGTGTTTTTAGAGCTGGCCTTGAACTTGTAGCAACTCTCCTGCCTCATCTCCAAGTACTAGGATTGCAGACTCCTGCGACTACCTCCAGCTCCCATCATATGTTTTCCTGAGCCTTTGCTTCATATCTGTCCCCTTCAGTGGGCTGTGATGGACGAGGGGTGGACCCCCTCCCCTTTCTGCACTAGCTTCTAGTACCAGGACAGTAAACACTGGCTTGCCTTCCACAGAGATGCCTTCCCAGGGACCTCACCTCCTCAGGTCATCATGGAACGGCAGGAAGAGCCACTTCTCAGGCATGTCCCTGAGGAACAGGTCCTGTTGCTCCTCCGTGGGATCCTGGGACACATAGACCAGGGCCAGCTGTGCTGCCCGAAGCACGTAGAACTCATCAGTGAGTCGCACGAAGAAGTCTTTGAGGACTGGGGCAAAGGCCTGGCACTGGGGACAGGCCCCAGCGCCAAAGAACAGTAGCACAAGACGATTCTCCAGCCGGCGGCTCAGCTCGGCCTCGGTCTCCACTTCATCCTGGTCACTGTTATTCCTGATCAAAATGCGGCCAGAGAAGAGGGACACCATGGCAGCAGCGTGGAAGAACCCGGAGAGAGCTCTGGTGTGGCCTGCTTACGGGGTTCCCAGCCCCAGGAATAGGAACCTCCGCAGCCAGATTAGCCTCTAATCCTCCTGTAGGTCGACCTCTACAGGGCCAGCGTCAGTTGGAGGGGGGGTAGGGAGGCAAGCTGCTTGCAAGGTGTTAACAAAACAGAGCCTGTGAGTCCAGCACTGAGGCAGGGGGATCACAAGCACACCCTGGGGATGTAGGACAAAAATGAGAGGGGCTGGGGTGTGCCTGGAAGTGGAGCCCCTGCATAGAAACCCCACAGTCTGGGGCCAGGGGCGTGGCTCAGGGGTGGAGTGACAGCCTGTAATCCCCCAGTGAGGGGCTGGGGTGTGCCTGGGAGTGGAGCTCCTGCCTAGAATCCACCAGTACTGAAGGCATGGTTCAGGGTCTGGCTTCCATCTGCAACACAGTAAAGCAAACAAAACAGTAAACTCCAGTAATGAAGGGATATGCTTGACACAACTCAAGCCATTCATTTCTAGGCAAGAATTTTTGGTTAAAAAAATAAATGAGCCAGGTGTTGGTGGCGCACGCCTTTAATCCCAGCACTCAGGAGGCAGAGGCAGGCAGATCTCTGTGAGTTCGAGGCCAGCCTGGTCTCCAGAGTGAGTGCCAGGACAGCCTCCAAAGCCACAGAGAAAGCCTTTGTCTCGAAAAACCAAAACAAACAAACAAACAGAACAACAACAACAAACACTAACAAACAAACAAACAAACAAAAAAACCCAACCCCCCCCCAAAAAACCACAAGGGGCTGGAGAGATGGCTCAGTGGTTAAGAGCATTGGATGCTCTTCCAAAAGTCCTGAGTTCAATTCCCAGCAACCACATGGTGGCGCTACAATGAGATCTGGAGCCCTCTTCTGGTGTGCAGGGATATATGCAGGCAGCACACTATACATAATAAATAAATCTTTAAAAAAATGAAAGAAACAAATACTGTGACTCTGCCCTTTTCTATCCCCTCTCATCACCCAGACTACATCTGGAAACTCAGAAGTTCTCAACACTCCCCTTAACTATCAAAATCCAAATAAGCTTTTCCAAGGTGAGTGAGTGTGTCACTCAAGGCAGCTGCAGTCTGTGCTCTGGGCTTGGACATGCTCCCACACAACTCAAAGAAGTCTTTGTTGTTATTGTTGTTGTTGTTTTTAAGAACCGGTCTCTTGTAGACCAGGCTGTCCTCAGATTGACTAGGTAGCCACGGTTGACCCTGATCACAGGATCCTCCTACTGAGCCATGGTGTGAACCCTGGAGTCTGCAAAGATGAAATGAGCACAGAGAAAGCACAGAAGGGTGGACAGACGTTTATTGTCTGCCGCAGGAAGAAGAATACAGGAGTCATTCCCAAGGCAAGGTTCTGAAGACTCCGGCTATTTTCTCAGGAGCCCACTCAGAACATGTTTGTTTGTTTTGTTTTTGTAGGAGGTCACACATGCCAACTGTGTGCACTTACGGAGACCAGAGGACAACGAGCAGTAGTTGGTTCTCTAATTCCACTGTGTCTTGGGGATCCAACTCATGTCATCAAGCTTGGTGGCAAGCACCTTTACCTGCTGAGCCCTCTCTTCTGCCCTGCATATGCTCAGTTGAAGGTGATAGCTTAAAAAAAAAAAGATAGAAATGTTGGGAGTGAGCCAGGCAGTGGTGGTGAACAACTTTAATCCCAGCACTCGGGAGGCAGAGGCAGGTGGATCTCTGTGAGTTTGAGACCAGCCTGGTCTACAAGAGCTAGTTCCAGAATAGGCTCCAAAGCCACAGAGAAACCCTGTCTCGAAAAACCAAAAGGAAAAAAGAAATAGGGGTGAGGTAACCTAGCTGAAAGTCAAAGATTAAAGCAAAAGAGAGGAAGTTTCTATGATGCTCAGCTTGCCTCATCAGTTTCAAGCAGCTACCCTCAGAAGGGACACTCTGAGGGTGTGTCAGCTCTGGCTATCACCAATAGGGCCAGCTTTACAGGTGTCACACTACTGTCCTTCCTTCTCTGAGGTCTCTGTGTCCCACTGTAGTCTTCTTGTGTAGCCAAGGATAACCTGGGACTTCCTGTGTGCCTGCCTTGTTTATGGGGTGAGGGCACTGGGCATGGAAGCCAGGCCTTCCTGCATGCTAAGCAAGCTTGCTACCTGCAGAACCCCTTCTTCTACATCTTCAGCTCTTCCAAACAGGCACTTTCTAGGTCCAGGCTACCTCACCCCCAAAAGCCTCCTTCCTCACGCTCCATAACACGGGGGTTAGAGGCAATCATTTATTTGTACTTATTTTTTCTTATTTATTTATTTGTTTTCTTGTTGATTAATTAATTTATTTATTACGTGTGTTCCAGTGTGGGGAAGTCGGAAAATAACATTGGGGAGTTCTCTTCCACCATGTGGATCCTGAGGATCAAACGGAAGTCCTTGCTAGTCTGCTATCAACCTTTCAGATATCGGGACTAAAGAGTGTGGAGCAGGTGTCCAGAATCCGATGAGGGGTCAGTCCTCTGCAGACTAGGAGAAGAGGAGGGGAGGAGGAGAGGAAGGGGGGCGGGAGGCACCAGACGGCTAGAGGAGGAAGTAGGGCAAAGGGCACAGGAGATGTTCCAGGAATATGGAAACAGGAGGAGGCCGTGAGAAAGGAGGGGGCAGGCGGCAGCGCTGAGTCCCAGACCTAAGCTGGTGGGCCTGTGGCAGCGCTCAGTGTCTTTACCTGCAAAATGGGTGATCGCAGTAGAGGGAGCGAGGGCAGCTCTAGAGACTGGTCATTGTTGACCCCCAGCTGACTGGTCCAGCGTTCGGGATCTCCAGCAGCCCCCCATCCCACCACCCACCTCCCTGAGACCAATAGCAACTGCGGGCGGGGGTGGGGCCGCGCCTGCCCAGCCTTGGCCTTCGAGTGGCTCTGGAAGCCGGCCCCGGCTGGCTTCCTCCCAAGGAGAGCTGTGGGAAGGTCGGCCAAGCGGGGCAGAAAACAAGTAAGCCAGCAGGGTGGGCAGGGGGCGTGGGAGGGTGGCTGGGAGGGACGGGGCAGAGGATCGCAGGGCCGCTGTGCAGCGAGACGTGCCCAGGACTGCCAAGGGCTCATCCTGCGAAGTGACCCGCCAGGGGCTGAGCTCACAAGTTCCCCGTCCAGGCCTCCTACCGTAGCTGCGGCGACAACCGGCGAGGGAGCCGCGGGGCCCGGGGGTCTGCAACCTGAGCAGGTCAGCGGCACGCAGGGAGGGGCGCCCCAGCAGGAGGCTGGGCACAGGGGCGCCTCTGGACGGGCGCCTACGATTCCTGGGGAAAAAGCAGGGGAGTAGTAAAGAATCCTGGGGTGCCACTGGGTTTCGTGGGGGGCCCTGGGGTGCCAGAAGGGCTCGTGTGCAGAAAGGACGGGGACCTGGCGTGTCCTGGACACTCCTGGGACTGGCATGTGACTTGTTAAGGTTTGGGAGAGGTAGAAGTGAGGCTCCTGAGGCCCCCGGGATGTGGATTTCGACTCTCTGGGAGCCTGGAATGCGGAGAAGCCTCGGGGCTTGGATCTAGGACAAGCTGGAGCAAGTAGGCGGCAGCACAGACGGGCCCCGGGCGCGAGCTGGGTGCCCTGGCCCTGGCCCCGAGGATGGGGATCTTGGACGCCTCTGGGTGCACGCGCGCCGGAGCCACGCCCCCTGTGCCCGGGGCCGTCCCGGCACCTGCTTGCTTTCCTCTCCCGCCCCCTCGCCCGCCCCGGTTGCCGTGGACACGGGTAGGTAATCCTGGCGGGTCGCTCTAGCTTGAGAGTCTCTTTGGCCACAGGCTCTCTGGCCCGCGCATCCTCTCTATGGTTCAGGCCTCCGGAAGGGGGTCGGCTTGTGCGGAGCCGTGCGAGGGACTGGGAGCGTTACGCGGCAGGGAAGAGGGTTTCGGGGCGGAGAGCCAGGCGCCGGGTGGGTCGCACTGACCCGGCCTTCCCCTGGGCCCTGACTGGCAAGGGCTGAAGGAGGCGCGGGAGGCCCAGGTAGAATGCGGGTCCCGAATGTCAGACAGACTAGGGGCTGTGGGCGGGGCCAGGCACCACCTGGGGCGGAGCCTGGGTCAGAGTGGGCTGGCGAGTGCTTGGGCGGGGTCACGGGACTCTGCTGGGGGCGGGGCCTAGGCCTCACCTGTAGGAGGGACTTGGGGCAGCGTGCGCACGTGTGCGCTCTGGGGGCGGAGCCACTGACCGGGTCTGGAGGAGGAGCTTCGATCAGGTTGCGGGGCTGTGGTTTGAGGCTCCCACTTGTGGGCGGAAATAGAGGCCTCAGCTGGGGGCGTGGTCTAGAGTTAGGGGTTGGTTAGGGCACAGAGGCGGCCGGGGAGACGGGACAGGCTGAAGGACAGCG